AGAAATAGACTGGTGTCTGTTGAGCTGAATAAAGGGTATTCAACCAAGTATTTAATTAAAATAATGCGGATTTATTGTTTTGTACGAATACTTTTTTCACCCCGAAAAGTGAACATGTTGCATTGTTTTTTGTTGCATTGAGATTTAATTTCTTTTGATAGTATTTTTGAATACTAGGCGTCTCTATACATAATTTAAATCACTTTTCCTGTTAAGTTTGTGTACTTACATACATTAAAATACGATTTTTCAAGTGTACGAATATTTATTGCCCCCCACTGTATATCTCTTTTACGGTTATAATCTATAAATAAAACCATCCATAACTGACAAACAATATTGGAGTTTCTGAATTTTCCTTGATCAGACCTTTGAATTCGACCGAAATATTCGACACATGAACGAACGTAAAGATTTGCTGCGAACGCCACACCCCGGAAGTTTCCATTCCTCCGTTTGAGAATTAATATCTTTAAAACAAGGCAGACTCACGAATTGTCGCTTGACGGTCGAAGTTTCCGTTGTCACCATCGCGCCATCATGATGATTTGCTCATAAAATATATTTTCTTAGATTTTTATATTCAGCGATAATTACACGATCCGATTATTTTTGTCTCTTGCAATAATCAGTGGACACAGTGATGACTATCTTTAAGATAACCTGGCAGATATCTTCGCTGGCTATCTCTGAGCATAGCTTGCTTCACCACACATGGCAGAAAATTTCGTTAGATTGCCTTCCGTCTAAATAACGTATTAATATTTGCAAAAATGCTTAGGTCTTGCATCCGTACGCTGTCATCGTGTCATCAACTTCGCTACAAAATTTGCTGCAGAGCCCATATTAAAAATTTAAAGGTTCATAGGGTCCATTTATACAGACGTTCACCATACAAGACCAGGCGTGTCACTGGTTCATAGGGTCCATATGTATACAATCTATACATACGGCCACGCTTAACATGGACCTGAACTACGCAACAGTTGCTTAACTTTTGTAACAATATACTAGTTGCCGGTGAACTTTCTTCAGAATTTAAATCGTTATAGCAATGACGTGGTAAACTTTCAGCACAATTTATATCGTAATACAATGACGCGATGAGTTTAATTTAGAATTTAAATAGATAGAATGTGATGTCGAGGTATGTTATATTGCCTAAATTTCTTTAATGTCAAGATGACCGATCGTCCTGTAGCTGCCGCGATCAAAAATTTCGTTTTGTATTTTAATATGTTTGCTCGTACGATGCCGTAGTTTGTTACAAACCGGCAGACGAGCTGTATAACAGGCGAGCTGTGTGACGGGCGAGCTGTGTGGCAAACGAGCTGTGTGACAGACGAGCTGTATGACAGGCCAGCTGTGTGACAGTCGAGCTGTATGACAGGCGAGCTGTATGGCAGACGAGCTGTGTGACATCCACACAGGACGGCGTGGCGTTGGCACCGAGCTCTGTATCTCTGTGGCGTGTTGCGTGTAGCCACACAGGACGGCAGTGGCGTGGCGTTGGCATCGAGCTCTGTGTCTCTGTGGCTATGATGAGGCAGCGGCTGAGGTCACTGAGTACGGTACGCGTCAAGCCCGTCAATTGCTCGCTAATGCTGTCGTCAAGATATCTTGCCTATTCTCGTTTGCATATGCTTTGCCTTTTTCGCTGCATTTTCATCTGAGAACTTTGAGCTATTGCTGTAATCATTAACAAAATATGTCTTAAGCTGTACAAAATTCAGTTGTGCATCGAATGTCGTTCGCTAGACTTAGCACTTTCAATTAGGAAGTGACAGATGAATTATCTTTAATAAGATCCACATAATCATTGTTAGCGGGAGGCCGAATTTAATGTAATGAGTTTGTTTTCTTCCCAAATGAGCTCGAATGACTTGATATCATCGTCCAGCTGCACTGCATTCAAACGTTAATATATTCATGCGCAGTAGGATTTAAATTGATTGTGTGCTTGTCTGAATAGCAGGCAGTTCATTCGTGGCTCAATTAATGATCCTGTTGAAATTTGGTGCTATTTTTATTCTTTTTCGAACTTTTAGTGACCAAATAGAAACTATGATCAAAATTTAACTTGCATAGTTTTAAGTTAAATTAGATGCGTTATGTAATATCATAAGTCTCGGTAATTTTTGTGTACGTTACTTCTAACTGAACAATTTTCACAATATTTTCGAGCTCGGGTAGTGATGCAGAAGAGCGTGATTTTAGATATAGATGAAACGTAGATTTAATTTAATCTACGTTTGTCTGGTCCACACTTGAATAGCACGAAGAAAATTACTATACTTACTCGTTGTAATTAATCTTGATGCAGAGTTTTTCCTTAATTAGGGTTTATTCTTTAATTAATTTTGTGTATTAAAAATAATTTTTATTCATGAATTCATGCATATTTGTATCGCGTTCTCAATTTTGTAACTCGTTTTTTTTTGTGTGTCTGAGCCATAGCTCGCAGAACAGTCAGGTCCGTGACGCGGGCTGTGAGGCGTATCTGGACGCTAGATTCCTGTAAATTTCGTTACTAGCCCGCGACCTTAGGAAGCTGATAAAAATTTATAAACATTTTCTTGCCAAAGAACACAAATTTCACCCTTACTAGGTGAATCAAAATCTATTTGTTGCGCCTCATGATCCGTTATGTCATGATGAGCAAAATATCCTGTATTCGTCATTTATATACATCAGATCCCGTGCATCTGATCTAGTGTCGTATGTAATTGCTGCAGGATTTGATTTCAATACGACTGAGTTACATTTGTGTTTGCTACTAAAACCACGTGACTCGTATTTAATGTAGCGTGTCAAGCCATTCAATGGAATCACATTTGTCTAGATTACCCTCAATTTTATTACGTGTCAAATATGGTTTTCTAACGCCATGACGATACCTGCAGTTTATTTCATAGTACCTATGAAGTTTGGCGTTTAAGCAGTAAGGTGGCACTCGAAATCTCTCACAAATCTCTGGCTTATATCGCAAGTTCACAAGGAATTTAAAAGCAAAGAAAACGCCAAGCAAATTCACCGTGTATATTGATGGTCTTCGATGCTATTCGTACACCTAAAGTTAACGTTGTTTGCCTACGTAACATTGAATGAATTAACCGTCGCATAAGGATGCGTCACTGAAGACGTAACTGCCTGTAGAGAGATCTTTTCGGTAAAGGCAAATGTATCGATGGAAACCTTGGACTTAAGTCATAGCTTTATGGACGGTGTTGGCTGTCGGTCGTAGCTGTTATACAGAGCAATAATATTTCCACCTTATATATTTAGAACTAATTGGGACCTACTCCACTGGCGCTGATTTGGTAATCCTTACAATAGCAGAACATCCTATGCAAGCATCATCGAACAAGTCTTATTTATAATTTAACTTTTTTAATTCTGTTAATAAGCGAGTTTGGTTAATGAAATCTTTACGTCATGGTTCAGAAGTAGGGCTATAGATAGTTGACCATAAATCTATTTTTTATCTGTAATCTTCTTTTGCACCGATGGCTCGCCGCTCACTGAGCTTATGATGTAGCGCTATCATGAGCGAGGAGTGTGAAGCAGCGTCGCGACTACTGGCGCACTTGTTAACGTTTGACAAGCGTGTGACCACGTTTGCACGTTTGAAAAGCGTGTGGCTACGTTTGACAATTATGTGGCTACGTTTGACAATTGTGTGGCTACGTTTGACAATTGTGTGGCTACGTTTGACAAGCGTGTGGCCCCGTTTGACAAGCGTGTGGCCCCGTTTGACAAGCGTGTGGCCTCACGTTTGAAAAGCCTGTTGCCACGTTTGACAAACGTGTGGCCACGTTTGACAAGCGTGTTGCCACGTCTGACAAGCGTGGAGTCACGTTTGACAAGCGTATGAGCATGTCAACCTCACCACAAATAACGCTCGCTGCGGCAACTCTGCTCGCTCTGAGTGCGCTTGCACCGCGCGCAGATCTGTTGTGTCCACGCGGAAATGCGCGCTGTAGGGACGCGGTCATATCAGCACACGTGAGTCATGTGTAGCTGCTTCCAAGCTCTGCGTTTGAACTAATAAATCAAAATAACTTAATCGTTAGATGCCGAAAGAATGTCGAAGCAAGCATTGTATTTTTAGACTCTTTGAAGAGTCTAGTTGATTGATGGCTGTACCTATTTGATTGAGTACAATTCTCTTGTAATGAAGTAAAGACTTTAGACACTATTCACTAAACTAATAACATGCACCTCCGTATAATATTATATAGGATGGGTTAAACCGTTAAAGCCTACTGCGACCTTCATCCATTGAATGGTGTATATAACAATATTTTAAATTCTTGAATTCAGAGCTCATTTCTTACCACAATAAACAATGTGCATTTTTTATGCGTATGGGTGAGCTATACACTATACACATGTGATGTGGCCTGTAATTTGATGCTCAGGCGAAGACTATTACGTCTTTAGTGCTCGAGTTTCTCGAGCTAGCCGCCTGGCTTCCAAACAAGTGACTAGTGAGGTTTGATTGCATTTAATAACGGTAGACTATATATTTTCATGTCTTGAGTTTTCTCTCTCTTTTAATTGAGTTACGTTTTTGAGAATCCACACCGCACCCTGTGATTATTTATTTAACTTAGTTCAGATGTATCAGGATTTCTCAGACTAAAACTTATTCGCCCTGAATATTTTCTACTCCTTTTGCGGCTTGAACATTGCATGCACGATCTACGTCCTTGATCTGATTGAGAAAAACTGTCCGTTTTGATACTTAGCGTGTATTCGTATAGAAACCATGAACATATTTTTTCGACGAATAAAAAATCGAAGAATCAGTTAAAATATTTTGGGTTTGGAGATAGTGTTCGACGAATAAAAAATCAGAGAATTTAAGTTTGGAGACGGTTTTAAATGTTGTGATTTCTGTGTATTACAGTATATTCTCTATTTACTCATCTAGTCAGGAGCTGGTATGCTGGCAGGCTAGTTTAGTTTCGTTCTCTTATGCGGCTGACCAACGAACCTTGCATTAATTGCTATGCCATGTGTACGAGTTCCTCGTTTCAGTTGACGTTTGTCTGTACGTGCTTTACTTATCCAGCTGTTCACCTAAACTAGCCGGTCTCCATTTATATTTCTCACTTATCCTTTGTCTTTGTGTGTCCTTCTATTATTTCTATGGCCCTGTTGCTGTTCGCCTATCTCTCTTTGGTTTCTTTTCATCGACCTTTTCCTTGTTTTTTTTTGTACTGAATTTCTAGCGTAGCTTCTTTTTTCTTACTGTCTGTTATATTAAATTTCAGATAAACTGTTTCGAAGAATCTATTATTATTGATGATCTCGAGTCTTCTGTAGTAATTTCTAGTGAATAAAATAAATCTAATATTCATTTCCTGGAACTATGAAAAATGTTTAAAATTTCTTCGTGTCATTGGTCGCTGCTAACAAGACGTATTTGCTACAGCAGTCTTACAATCCTGATAATTCCCTGAAATATTTGATACATAATATGTATAATTTGCGTTATGCCAGTTATTCGCAACGTCTTGATTCGTTCGGAAAAAATATGAGACGCTGATGGCTCCATTAACAATTCACGAACAGAACAAACCTGGACACAGTTTCTGCAATGCCAAATTGAAATTAAATATTATCTTTTATTTTTATGATATTCTTCGAACTAAAAGTCTCGTTATAAATTTGGGTCTCTCAGTCTTTCAAATTTGCGTGCGCACTACGTGGCACTGGTACTTTACTGATCATAAAATAGCAGTTGTGATCGCATATTCTGAAATTCGTTATTAAGATCGTACCCGCATAGGTTCTTGGAATTGCCTCTTTTTCTAGCCCTTTTGGTCAGGGTAAACTTGATTGGAAATTGCCTTGACAAATTGCAGTCTAAATTAGAACATCGTTTGCAATTGGCTAGAGCCATCATTTTGGGAGATGTACTCCCCACATTGGTTATCGTAATCAGTTTTCATGGACAGATTTTTCGTTAAAAATTCATTACAATGGCTATTTTTGCATCTGACGTGAGTTGAAGTCTCGACTACACAATGTTCTTAAACTTGACATTTAAGTCGCATATGAAACCGTTATATTCTTTATTGATTCCAAACGAATTATAGAAATTTATAATTCACAATTCTAAGCCTAGTTTTTGCATTTATTAATGTTGTTCACTGTCCAAATTTAGTCCAAAATTGTCATGTGTACGTAATTTTTTATTTTTGTATGGGTATAAGTTTTGGCATACGCACTTAGCAATTTAAGATTTATTTAGAATGATATCCCTCATTGAGACTTACTTAGAATGATATATTTTATTTATACTTACTTAGAGCGATACGTCTTATTTAGACTTACTTAGATTGATAGGTATAGCTTGTTGAAACTTACTTGGAAAGGTATATTTTATTTATGCTTACTTAAAGCGATATATCATAATTAGACTTACTGAGAACGATATATCTTATTCGTTCAGCAAGACGCTACCATTTGTCGCCATTATTGTTCAGCAATACGCTACCATATTTGGCCAGAATTGTTCAACAATATGCCGACAAGTCTCATGAGATCTCGTACATATTTGGTCAACAACACATTTCGTAACCAGGCTAATAACTTACTCTAGGATAAATTAATGTAAGCAGTGAAGCTATCAAACCAAATAAATCATTAGAAATTGCCATTGACATTCAAGAGTCGGCTTTGGCTGCCACCGAAAATAGGAAATACTCTCCCGTATGGCCCTGATCTTGTAGTAGCATCGCCGACAACAGGAGGGGTAGGGAACTTTTCAGGGAATTTTTACAGAAATAAACAGTTCTATGAAAGGTTGAACTGACCGATTTCATTGCAGTGTTTCTTACCCTAAAAGATAGACAGGGATAAATGAAATGGACAAGTGCTGTAGACGCGTTACGTCTTTGACTGTCAACTGATTATCATCACTTACATTTCTGTTGAAAATTGGCTTTATCGTCCCAGCCAGATTTGTTTCGCATTAATCAGTTTTAATAGATTAAATAATTAGTACTGCATTTAATTCCCAATATATTTGTCGAATTCTGCCGCGCATTCCAGATGTTATGTAGGTAATTGATAACCAATATTGATTAGTGGGCAATTTTTTAGTTGCATAAACATGCCAGTAGGTAATTTTTAATTCACCAGTCTTAGCATTTGAGCTAAAAACTAAGATAAATAGAAAACCTGAGAAGCTGTCTGCTGTCATCAAATCTCCTTGTTTGCTAAAGATAAAATAATTTTTCAAGCGAGGTCAGGAACTCGTAGTTTATCATTTAAAAAAGGATTATCCTGCAGTTTATTTGATGCTTCGTTCTAGCTCATCGGCCTACATTACTCTGAACTGAACCAATTAAATTTTTTTTGCATCAATTTTTTCTGGGATAAAAATGGCCTAAATTCTGAACTATCGATGAACACTGATAAGTCTATTTTCCTCCTATAAATTATTTATGCCTGAACATTATTTAGTCGTCCTGTACTGTATTTATTTTCTCTGTGTAATATTTATTCATTCTATATTGTATTTATTGTCTATATATTATATCATATATTGTATTTATCTCTTTCTTTATACGTATATCATATCATTTATTCATCTTGTATTGAGTATACTGTCATCTTGTAAGAAGTCCTCAATAAAACTGGCATTATTTTTAACCAAACATGTTTAAATGAAGGGCTCTACCCTAAATATACAAATTTCATCTTGTATTGTATATATTCTCCGTATGTATATTAATGACTCTTGTTTGGGCAGGTTGACCTGGACCACCAGCGGGAGGTGCCTGCTGTAGACGGCATGAACTTGTCCCGGCACTGGAACTGTCCCTTCATCGAAGCCTCCGCCAAGAACAGATTGGGAGTCAACGAAATGTTCGCAGAGATCGTCCGAGAAATGAACGTCAACCCCAGTAAAAAAGAAGCCAATTATTGTTGCTGCGTCTTGCTCTAGCGGTGGCAGAATTTTTAGCTCCTAGTTCTTGTGTAATTTGCGTTCGCTGTGTGTAAGTCCGACACTGTTAATTGCATTGGCTTTGAATGCGTCGAGGAATGAACTCTTGTCTTCTGACTACTCATGCCTAAATCCGCGGAAAGGAAATTGTTAGGCACTTCTTGGTACCCTATAGGTTACTTTTTTATCTGCAGTGGTGCGATTCAATAATTTAGGCTTCATGTATGCTGTCGATGACACTGAAAGTAAAAATAAAATAAATGAAGTGAAAAGTAATTGAAAAATTGAGTGCATAAAGGTTAAAGAGTAATTAACTACGTGTGCGATTTTAGTGGCATGCAATTGTATTAATTTAATCATTTAGGTCTTTCGTTGTCGTACCAAACTCTGGCGCGTTTATTGAAACTCGAGCGGTACATTGCATGAGATGTTGTATTTCTAGAGCGCTGGCCACGTCTTATGCAATGATGAGCAATTGAGTCACATTGTGATGCAGGCAGTTACAGTGGCTGTAGACTTGGCTCATTGTGATGCAGGCAGTTACAGTGGCTGTGGTCTTGGGGCTGGATGCAGAATTGAGAAAGCTCAGATTGCCTCAAATTATTTATAATCTTCTAAAATTGGTATACCAAGGTTGTCAAAAAACTGCACGTGCTTTATAGCTTTCAGAACTAACCATCCAATTCCCCTTTTACTTGAAACTTGGTCCCCTACACGGTCAATGATTGTAGAAGTTCATTTAGTTGTCTAGGATTGTGCTGGCTGATACAGCGCATATTTCATGATGGATCGTTAATCTTTACCATTACACGATGCATTTACGTGTGTAGAAGATTGCTTCTTGTACACTTATATGGTATACATAGTGCGTATTGTATCTAGTGACTAACATGTACATATCTTTGTTCACTTGCAGTTTACAGGACTCCTCTAAACTGAGCTTGGGAGAGTAACCATTTTTGTATTTGTATCACGCGAGGAGTGTAAGAGAAGATGAAGGATGTTGATATCCTTGTGGCTACTTAAAAGGTCAATAGCGTTACAAGTTCATCTAATTAACTTCAAATCAGGAAAATTCCTGACACGATAACATTAAAGCATTACGCCGAGCTTATGCTACAGATCATGCTAATATTGGCTTTGTACAGTCAAGACTAGCGGTCTGTTTGACTCCCGGTATCGCCTTGAGCAACGTGAAAATGCCATTTTTCAGATTCGAAAGCTTCACATTTTCATTCTCAAACTTGCTTTTTCAATTCATTTTGTCATCAATTTTGTGCTCTTGTATTAATATGAATTTTGCTTGTATGTTTCTTTGTTTGTGGCAAGAGAGCTAACGTACCTATAAAAATTTGGTGAAATTATAATGACATGCTTTTTTAATTGAGACCAGACTATTACATTTTTTATCTGATATTCTTAATTTTCTGCACGTGTTTTGGGCTCAAGTCTCCGTTATGATATAAGTTCCCAACCATAAAAACGTCAAGGTGTACCTAGTGTCATCGAAGCAATATGATAACAATACTTTCAAATTAACCTTGTACGCATGGGTTTCGTTCTCAACTCATTCTCGTTATGGTTCATTTTTGTGAAGAACCTTTAGGGCTTCATATCAGTGAATAAACAATTCAATAAGCAATCAAAAAGAAACTTAATTTTGTGTTAAAGAGATGTTAATACACACGCTTCAAATGTGCATGTATTGTTGAATCATGCAGACGTTTTCTTACATCACCTCCTCGCCTTGATAAATTGGTATTTTTCTTCGTACGGTTATTCTTTTTCATAAATCATTTTCCCTTGGCGTAGTTTTCTTAAAGTAAAGAAGATTCACGAAGTTCTTATGATGAGTGAAGTAAAGATCGCGCTCATTTTATTCTCGCATCAAACTACGGTGAACTCGTGCCCATCTCCTGCGATTCTGGTGCACTTTCCTCTACCAGAATTTAGTTCGATGTAATTTTCTTCAGTTTGTGCCGTTTACTTATGTTCCTGTAAATAGTACCGAAATATTTGAGTCCCGCCTCTGTAATGTATTCATTTTCTTTGATGTCAAGGCAATGTTTGTTTATTTTTGCTGCTTGTAAGCAGTAATTTCTCCGACATCGTGCTTCGAATTTGTAACGTTTCTTGTGCATTTGTTCACAGCTTGTGTTTCTCTGTATTAGCTATCGGGCATTTTGTTTTGTTTTCATTAATTTCATTGATAAATTTATGAATTCCTCACGTGATGGGGTCAACTCTCATGTTGCTCCTCTATTCTCCTTTGTTGCTTTCTCAAGAATTTCTGTAACGATTCGTAACTCCATTGAACTGGCTTGTCAAATTTCCCGTACTACCGCAACCTGTAGCACTTTGTATCTTGAGATGTAATAATGAGCTCCTACTTACCTAAGTTCTACTTATTGAAATTAAATGTAATGCGAATGGTTGTCCCAAAATTTATATCGTTAATCATTATTTCTCATGGACCTTCACACGCTCAGGCTGGATAAGCTCTGGAGCTGTGTTCGAAGCCCCGTGTTTTTACTTGCTACGTTTTCTGAGTGTGTTTTACTTAAATGTTGTATCTTTTCGGTATTTTTAGAGGTGTCTGGCGTTGATGTTCTGTTCATTATTCCCATTATAAAGTAGCATATTACGCTATTGTTTGGATTTAATTCAACAGTTAATGTACTGTAGGTCTGCTTGGCTTCGTTGATGCGAAAATATTCGAATTAATTTGGTTATTTTTCGTCGACGATCGTTCTCTATGCGATGCTTAAGCATTCATGAATAAGGCTATTATCCAGAATACACGTTAGCTTTCTAGAGCGCATCATATAGTGAACTGGCGAACTGCAGTTGTTGTATGTAAATTTTCCTTTCCTGTGGGATTTACCGATCTGTAATAGAGCACACAATACAAAAAATTGTTGGGTTTATTGGTACGATTTTCTTCGCCAAATGTGGGGCGACGCAAGTGTTTTCTCACGTATCCGCGATGTCCTAAAGAACTGCTCGTGATCTAAATCCTCGACTCGAGCGACGGCAATATTTTCCGTACAGTTCTTCGTTGTATGCGCAATAATTATTTCTACTTGTAAATAGCTGTAAGTCACTAAATATTAGCACTGTTTGTTTAAGCGCTTACTACTCAGTTGTGCAATTTGTCGCGGAATATAACTCATCCGGCTCCGCAAGTGAAGAGAAATTCAAGGAAGCAGCCGAGATAAAAGATGCTTCAAAATGTGAACCTTCTGTTCGCATCTTGTCTTTTGCACGGCTGAAAATAATTTCTCTCTAGACTCGATAATTACGCGAACTACGCAATGCCGGATTTTATTTTCGTTATGTAAGTCATTCATTAGTGATGAGAAATGCGGCCGCCTCCTCTTGGCTCTGTTGCTTGCTACTCTTGAAGTGATTTCAAAGCGTATCGCATTTCACTAATTCTTGGCGAATGTGTAAATCTCCAAGTGAACAATCTAAACGTATTCATTACGAATTTCCATGAATACTTATTCATTTACTCAGGGTGAAAAGTAGTTTCGGATATTTATATTGAAAACGTTTAGAGTCTTCTAGGGCGATTTGCGCTCGTTACTGAAGTTATTGATAGGCAATACAGAAAGAAGTCCTATGAGTCATGTTTTCTGATCACTTTCGTTGGTTATCTGCCTGAGGTTTCGTCCCATTCTATATTATGATGATTACCTTCAGAATTTATGTTGTACATTTCTAGAACAATATTGTGTCACTAAAGTCTTCAGATGAAAGCTGTAAATGCCGCTTGTCGAATTATACACGCCTTGCTGCCCACACCACTAACGCCTTCTCACACCGCTTCTTTCTTTATATATTTTTTTCGCGTGCAATGATTCACAATTAAGACAATTTAATATTATTTTTATTTGCCTCGTTTATATTACATTCTTGTTTCATTGAAGATTTGATTAATTGTCCACGTTTATTTTTGTTTATTCTCACACATCTGCTCTGAAATTAGACCTAGTGAGCTCTCACTAATTATTAGACGCTATGAATGTCAGAGGACGATTGTATAATCCTATATATTTTTCGCTTACATTTTTGGGGACAAACTCTTATACTAAATGTTCGTGCTTGATGATCAAGGCGAAAACGGAGCGTTGCCCAGCGGATAAATGTCAAAAAAAATTTAAATGGCGAAAAGAATTGCGTTATATATAACTCGTTAACTATTATTTTCTGTCTGAGAAAAGCCATTATGAAATGATTGGTTATTCGTGTGTAGAAATCCTCCACATTCTCTTTACTAATCTTTTTTTACGATGATGGAATCGTTTTCAATCAAGATCATAACTGGTATCGGTAACTGGATACTTAAAACGTCCAAGGCGAGCAGAAGTTTTACGCTAACAAGAAATTCGAATTTCCAGTCTATTAAGTCGTATTAGTGCTAAACCTGATTGAGATGCCCTGACTTGTTCAGCGTCTAATTCTAAATAAATTCGTAACGTTTTAAATAAATTTCACCAATGATCACAGAATACGTAATTCGCCGTACGTCACGTATCGTGCAGGGGTCACTGGGTTCGAATACATCGCACATTTTCTATGGGGAGATGAAGTTTATTTGTGTTCTTTATTTTTTCTTTGCTACACGAATTTTGAGTGTAATTTTATCACGCAGTGTCTTTCAAATGATATCAGATTCGGAATAACTTGAACGATGTTGGATCGTTTAATTAAATTAATATTATAATCACTATTATTCTAGACTTGTAGAGTTAAGAATGTAGAGTTTGTAAACTATCGAGCTTTTAGGAATACATTATGCGCTAATCTGACGAACATATCTTGTGGGCTGAGAACTTGCATAAAATTTAAGAACTTTGATCATTGGTTTTCTGAAAATAATTTGCTCGAAGTTAAATTGTATATATAAAATTAATATGTCATTTAAAACAACCTTACAGAAATTAACTGGCATTTTTATTGCAGTGCATCGACTACAATTAATTGACAAGCGATAAATATACCAATATTGGTCTGTTTCGCCACCATGTGCTTTTGATACTGTCAAATGTTGCACTCAGAAAAATGAATGGGTCTTATTGCCCAAATTGCGAACCTCTGGCACGTAGCACTAATGCGCCTTTGTCAGGCCGCTCCTGGGTCAGGATGACACACAGTAGGGCTGGACTGCAGCGATATTTGGACAAAGTTTTGCACTTTTCTCTGAGTGATCATCTCTCCATTAGACTTGAGGCTCGAGTAATCTGATGAATGAAGAATATAAATTTCTTGCCTCTAATTTGAATGTTTTGCAATTGTGGCATCGCTGTACGCAAGTCTCCTCCTGTAGCCGATTGTTCAAGATAACTTGCGTGTTATGCTTCAGATGTTAGTTAACAGTGGATGAGTTTAGGTAACGACTGCTTCCTGCTAAACTGTGTCGAACTAATTGCTGCAATTCCTGGTTCAATCACGGCATCGATTTCCTGATATTTCCATCACCAACCACTGAATGTTTCCAACAGTAGCATATTTACCATTAACCGCACTTCTGAAAGTTGATTCGGTATTTCGAGGAAGTCTATAATAAACTATTAGAAACATTATATTATTGAAAACAATGACAACGCTATTTCTGCGCAAATGCAGATACATTTCCCTGGAACGAAATCACATTTAATCGTTGATGCCTAGCTAATGCATTAAAATTCTATTGGAAACTACGTTGAATTTGTCCGCGTAGATAGTGACGTTCAACGGTGGATTGCGGAAATAAAGTTTCATTAAACGAGAATTTATTCCTACTGTTAAGCCTGGCCACCAACCATCGTTGCGTCTTCCCTTGTAAGTTATTAACTCTAAATTTACTAAAAAAATAATAATTTTTACGATTCGGTTTAGTGTTAATTGAACGTACATGATAATTTTGTATCAATGTTGTAAGATTTTACAAGAAACCTCCGAGAATTAAAGATGTTATTTTCCTTCGAGTTCTGGGAACATTTCATGGCTCATAATTGGGGAAGCTTCAAAGCAAGAAAACGGCCGCCAATTACAGAGAATCCCCATTTCTGCAATTGCGGCGAAAAACAAAAACGCGCCCGAATTTTGGAACCTCAAAGATGGAGTAAAAGATTTTTTCAGTATTTAAAAAAAAACGCGTTCTATTATCAATTTCTGTTATTAAAAACAAAATAAATGAGAATTTGGTGAGCCTCGAATCAAAAGTACAAAAAAAAATCAAACAGACTTCGAATATTTCGCCTCAATGGGCAGATTTTCCAATAGCATTTCATTGAGCCTCGACGGCGGGGCACGAAGCGCGTCTCAGGCACACACACATTCTTTGAAACACAATTGGATCCATACACATTCACACATCCATCTTCTTTGAACACAATTGGAACTCCAAATAAAGACACACTTTATTACCAAAACACACCCAGAGAGAGCAAATTCAGAGATGTAATCCAAATTTTAGACGCTACAGAAAAACTACCTGCGCAATCCGTGCATTCGATCAGAAAATAGATAAAAAAAACAACCGAGACATTAAGCTTATAGTTTGGTGAATATATCTAGGGTAAATGAAGGATAGAATAATCTGAACGTTGATGTTAATGTCGTATTAAATAACTCTATGGCAGGGAATAAAGGCACGTCAGACGGGGGAGTTGTAGACGATGAGGTTCTTATCATCACCGACGCTGGCGATCTTGCTGCTGTCTTTATTGTAGCGCGTGCACCAAACCTGAGGTACGAAAAGCCTCTTCAGTTAATAAGATTAATAGTAAATATCATACCAAAGTACATTTAGATAAAATCATAAAAAATTTAAACAATTAAACTTGGAAATATGGTTAAAAATACATGCAGTTAAACAAAATAGAAACATTACACTAAAGATATTCACAGAAGAACATCAGATAATAAGCAGGTTCTCTTTAATTCTGCTGGTGCAATAAAGAACACCTCGAGGCACTTAATAAAGAGGAATATTTTTTCAGACGTGATTAATGAAAGAAAGAGCTTCCCGAGAAAGAAGGCAACGGAACACAAATATATGCAAGTTAAAAACCGCTAATCGATGAGAGGAAACCAAGGGCAATGAAGCCACAAGATAAAAGAAATGAATATAAGAAGAAAGCAGGAATAAAAATTGAAAGTTTCGAAGCTGAGAATAAAAAAATAAAACGGAAGCTGAAGCTCAAAGACTTCCGAGAATAAAGACATTGCTAGAGAAGATGAAAGCAGGAAAATCCGATTTAAATAAATTTATCAAAAACTAACATCCAACTCCGAACCTTCAAAAAATAGCAGAGTAAAGAAAAAGTAATAGAAGATGAGTCTCAATTAAAAGATAATAATGCTACGAGCACAGAGCTCAGGAATCGCTAGCGCTGTGTGGGAGGTGAAGGTGTGCAGTAACTCCCACTCACCTGGTCTGTGTGGGAGGTGAAGGTGTGCAGTAACTCCCACTCACCTGGTCTGTGTGGGAGGTGAAGGTGTGCAGTAACTCCCTCTGGCGAGCATCCCAGACTTTCACCGAAGAATCTGACGACGATGACACGAAGCGCATTTGGTCGGGTGAGAAGTCGACGCTCAGCACCCATGACGCGTGGTGACTTAACGTCTTGGCCAACTTTCCACTTGCACTGAAATAGATTTATATGTTGGAAGAATTTCAGGCATAGCAACAAAGATAATTCAATACTTTAATATTAATTATGTAATAATTTAATTACAACCAAAATATGATATTACCAGGAAAATGACTTCATAACTAAAAAATGTGATGGACCGTAGATTGTGGCTAGAGTTTTGCCTATTCTGTTCGATGTTTCTTGCACATTCATAAAATCCTTAAAAATGCGCCCCATTGCTATGGTTTTCAATGTTATTTTGGACATGTCCAAATATAAATTTTTTACACATCATGATCTACTTATAATTTTTTACAGCCATTAACATACATATAGCGCTAATTGAAAGTGAAATACATTGAAGACGTTGCAAAGGTCCCAGTATAAATAAAATTTATCAAGACGTAATTTTCATTTAAATAAATTATAAGTAACTGCTCAGAGCTCAGGTGAAGACGACCAAAAAAGCTAGGAGAAAGTTTAGAAAAATTTAAATCGCACTTGAAGCTCAAAAATTATGTGGGTCAGGAGAGGAGAAGCAGAAACACAATGCAGTCCACAGGATTGAATTGATCGAGGTTAACAGTTATTTCACCTTCCTGTCAATTAATAAAAACAGATTGAAAGCATTCAAGAATTCGGTCAAACCAATCAAGTCGTTCCCATCAAACGCCCTCAGTATATGGTTTTTGTTGTGTCTTGAAGTAAGTGGTACGCATTAATGAAACATTAAAGAAAAAGTTATTGAGCTATTGCCACTAAAATAGCACGCGATCATAAATGTTTCGAAGCCAAACACTTGCCAGTCGAGGTATAACCACAGTTGGGGTGAAGACGTGGTACGAATCGAGAGAACAAAAAAATGAATGAACGACTCATGAAGCACAATAGAGAGCAGTAGATGGACTAGAGGTGAAGGGCCACTAGATAGACTAGAGGTGATGGACTAGAGAGCCGTAGACGGACTAGAGAGTCATGGACGCTCGGGTTGATGCTGGAACGCACCTAGAACCCGAACTCAAAAGGATTAATTTTGAAGAACCTGACACTGTACGTAGCTCACAGAAAGTCGTTTGCAGTAAAAAAGAAGGTGGAGGGCTGTCACAACTTTTCGGTGGGCTGCTGCTTAAGGTTGACCATCTGGCATGACTGAGCCGTAAACTTAAATTATGCTATTGGTCAATAAAAAAAACAGCAAACTGTGTTCTTTGATGATTCATGATATTAAGTCGTACTGACCGGGTATGAATCTAGTAGTGCAAATACAGTATGAACTCAGCAGAATATAGAACAATTAAAGTCCAAAGAGAAGCAAAATTCTTAGGTTGAGCAGAGGCCAGAGGCAGAAATTTCCTGGGTCATCGACAAGTAAAGATTGATCTGGAAGTGAGAGAAATAATAAATGTAATGATGCCCGACTTTGCGAGCGTCATTCGAGGAGAACAAGAAACTTGCCCTGTTAATAGATAAGCTGCAAAATGTTTAGTCAAAGAGCACTGAATACGCTATCTGCATGAAAACTTGACAGAACCATAGCAGGAGACACAGATGAATGTCATGCTCGATAAACAAACGAAAATATTCTACATATTTAACGCTATAGCTATAAAAGAGTAAGCTGCACTAGAAAGATAGATCTAAAGTGTTGCAGGCAGTGATAACCGGACTGGCTCCCAACTTTGAGAGTGAGACCTCCAGAAGACACGTTACTGCGGAAGGAGGGTGAGAGAGTGCAGGGTTCCCCCATTTAACACCCGAGCCGCGGCCAGAGTACACTCTTCGTGAGGGATCACTGTCCGTGGTAGGACCGAGGCTATTTAATGTCTAGCCAAAAGCGCTGAGAGGAGGGGAGTTCACCCTTGCGACTTTCAAGAGACGACTGGACAAGTGGTTGAGAAAGATCCCGGATTGTCCAGTTATGGGAAACTACCCTTAGCAAGTGACTAGCAACATCATCTTGCATCAGCCGGCCCAAAGGAGGGCAAATAGACGGAACACGTCCAACGTTACATCCGGGACACGAGGGCGAGGCAACCTGCCTAGCGACGACTCGGAGACGGAGGACCACGAAGGCTGCACATCAGCGTGACCGGGGACTAAGAAGTCCTAAACTCATCATGAGGTCATAAGGCAGATAGTAGTAGTGGTAAGCACAATTTTGTAGGTCACAGGTCTTGAGAATGTGGATGATTACTCGTGAATGAGTGCAGATAACGAATGAGTAAACCGCATGACAAGCAAGTTAATTGTTGAACAGCAAGTTTGGTCACTAGTCTCGGCCCTTGATGTCAACGTTCAAGTTTAGTTGGTCAATGGCGCCTGATAACAAGTTTACAGATTCTACTATGAATAAAAGACAAGCATTGCGAAAATGTAAATACATGTTTTACTTATTTCCTTTGGTGTGTCTTCAGTGGAAAGGAACACAAGATATTGGCAGTCAACAGCTCATTTGGCACTGCAGTAAATAATTGTTATTCTGGTGATATAAGCAGTAAATAAAACTGTTGTTGGTTAGAAAAGCCCGGAAAAGAAAGTGCCTAAAGAGTATGCATCGAAAAAACGTAATTTTCTTCACCCAAGTTCTAGAAAAATTCCCTGCTCACAAGTCATAAAGCTTCATACGTTCCCTGCTCACAAGTCATAAAGCTTCATATGTCCGTCATCAGCAGCGGTCAGCAGGAGTTGGGAGTCAGGAGAGAAAGTGATGGAGCGGATGGTCATGGCGTGGCCCTCGATGGTGTGCAGAAGCTTGCCGCTCTCCACCTCGAACACGTTAATGAAGCCGTCAATGGCCCCGCTTGCTATGTACTTCCCATCTTGACTCTGCACGTTTTTGATGCTTTTGAGGACAATATTCAAATGATAGAATGTCAACCGACAATAAGATGAATGTTCAATAATTTATTTAAGCAGCAATATGAATTTTCAAATAATTAATAATGAGGAAATAGACATTGAGGGACTACTATTTTTTGATAATAATATACCGTACAAGACTTATTAGAGTGAAACTTTCTGGCAACCTTCCTCGCTATTCATCTATCAAGTATGGCCTCGAAACGATCGTTCCAAGATGTTCAGGAATCAAATTGAGCAATTTGATAAAACCTATGAGTACTCTGATTCCTTTTCTCTAACAAAAACTAGGGCCAGGGTTGCCAAATGGCCTATTTTTTTACAAATTCTACGATTTAGTTTATCCCAATTGAGTTGGCAGGAAAAGATTAATGATGGCGATATTTACTACCTATTGTCTTTTACATGGTACAAATGGGAGATTAAAGATTTTTGCAACGCAACCTACAAATTTGCTAGTAAATATCAGATTACAGGCCACTGATGGCCTATTTTTGTCCACGGACTTGGCCGTTTTTGTCAACGCTCAACAGATCATTTGGGACTGCAGTAAATAATTGGTCAATAAAATAATAGCAAACCGCGTTTTTTGGGTGATTTATGATATTAACCCATTAATGCCGAGCGGTTCCATTTGGAACCAGCAGAAAAAAATGGATTCACATTAAAATTGTATGGTCAAATCAATATACTAGTGGATGCGTAGGTTTGGTACACATCTTGGACGTGTTCTGGCAACGTTTGGTTCAGCTGCGCCGACTACTCCCTGCTCAGTTAACATTAAAAGATTGTAAGTACCGGGTGTCAGACAGAAGGGCTTGACATCATTGCAGAGAAAGGTAAGTAGTTCGTTCCAAGAATATATTATTTATAAGTTTGATGCAGAATTTTATCGATAAAGAGAGTACTTTTAATTCTGTATATGGTATTACGTGATATAATGTTTCTAAAGTCATTTGGATCATGAAATATTTTGTGTTTGAAGAAACGTTATGTTAATGCCGAGCGGTTCCATATGGAACCAAGCTATAATTTTTCACATACAACGAAAAATAAATATATGAACATATTTTTTGCTTATTACCATCACAAATGATAATATTCTCACAAGGAACCGAAAAAAAATTCAGAAAATAATTCTCGTCATTAATGGGTTAAGTCGTGCTGACTGACCGGTTATGAATCTAATGATAATACTTGCAACTCCGCATGTAACGCTCACGTAAGCTATGGTGTAGGTGAAGCGCCCTCTGGTGTCCAGGGTGGATACGTGCTCGCCGCCCTTGGCTTGGTAGATGTTGATTTTGCCCGCGTGGTTGCCAGTCGCCACGTGCTGGCCACAGGGCGAGAACACCACCGACCACGACTCTACAGGGCTGCAGTCCAGACTCTCCATCTGGGCAACAAAACTTGAGCTTAAAAACTTGGAAAAGAATCCGCAAAATAAGATGGAATCCTCGATCTCAGTCGAAATATCCAAACATCTACTCAATAAATAAATAATAGGTGCTGTGAGAAAACAACAATTAAAAACTTTTTACTCATTTGACATTGACAAATAATCAGTATGACAGCACCATCACTGCATTTTAAATTTGATTTTTCCGTAAATAAAACTACACATATTTTCAAATGGCTGTTATGAATTTGACAATTTGCCCAAACACTCACAACCTAAAATGAATCAAGAAAAATGAACGATTGTCAAAAATAATGCATAAATTTAACATAAATTAGAAATATTATTTGTTGAACTTAAAAAATACCAACTTAAATAACAGACACATTTGAAAATCAATTAAGTAAATTCTTACTTCTACATAGAAACTAGGTAGCACAAACACTTTCGAATTCCATTCGTTATATAGAAAATATGCATAAAAAAAATTTATGCATATTTACCCAAGGTCCATTCATAGGGGTCGAAATTAAAATCAAATTGCATCTCTTATTGAAATAAACATCTCATGATGCAATGTAATCATCATGCTCTGAATGTACTCATTGGCAAAACAAAACTTCATGTACTAAATACAAAGTTTTCAGTTCCAAAAAAATCCACTTACTTTCAAAAACAACATGATAGGAAAACCAAAACGTGTAGTCTTTATAATAATAGTGTAGTTAGGCAGAAGTTCTTCATTTATACAGGTTTGGTTGAAGACCAGATAATAATCTTTATAATAAGAATACTTACTGAAGATGACTATTATGTTAAGCATCAAACATAAAATTAAGAGTTGAATTTTTTTCCCTGACATGCTACTAATTAGAATTAGGCGCTTCAAAACCTTTCCCTGTATAAGTGCCAAGCCCTCTCCTCTCCACTCAACACTTATTTTCCAGCCATCCTTTGTTTTCTCTTTGTGGACAGCTAATTGAACAAAGAAGCTTTTCGGTTTTCCAGTTTTCCAAACTCCTGTAGCAAACTTCTCTCAATTTCTCACTGCCTTCCCACATCTGCCACATAAGCTAACTCTCTAGTAAGCTTGGCTGTCAATGCCACAGAAAATAAAATCTCTCACAGGTCTCACTCAACATTGGTTGAGTTACTTCTTCAACACATGAACTGAAACTCTTAACAAGCATGGCTGTCGGCGCCACTAGGAACAAGATTTCTAACTTAAAGTTCATTGACTTGCCTGTTCGCCGGTGTGAAGGTTCCACAGCTTTATGGTAGAATCCAGAGAGGATGAGGCAGCAATGGTGCCGGCTGGATTTACTGCAGTTGATATAACACCTAAGGAGTGGCCTTCCAATGTGTGTAGCTTTGATAGCTGCAAGTAAAGAAGAAATGCTTCCATAGTACAAATAAAGTCTGACAGAAAAGCATAACTTGCAATCATAGCCTTGCAGGCTCAAACAGAGACATGGCTATCAAACCATATTCATTTTCACAGCGAAGATAAAATTTCATTTAAAACTAAGATAACCATGAGACCTAAATTGAGTGATTGTGTTAGGGAGTTCAAGTCAATAAAGGAAACAATGACAACACAGAAGAAAGCATCTCTCTAGATATGTATTATAATAAATCTGTTCTTCGAAGAGAGAGACTTATTTTCCTGATGCTGAAAGAGTTGTTTAAATTTAATTTTTCTAATAAATTTAATTTATATTTAATCAAAATAACACCTTGGAAGGGAATTTTTGGGTTAATATGGAAAAAAGTGCTTATAAATTATTGTTGTAGCACAGGAAGATAAAAAAACTCAACCATCATTTTTAAATGACCAACCTGGCCTCCGCCACTTCCATCGTCACTGTCAACCCACTTCCACACTCGAACTGTGTCATCCAACCCTCCAGTGACCAGGTATTGCACCTCACTGCAATAGGAGTTCAGTCAATTTCATTTAATTGTTACCTATACAAGCTGAGATTGTTTTCAGTTATGGTTACTCTTTTCAATCAAACACAAGTCATTGAACTACATGCATCTGGCTTGTTCCAAATAACTGGGTTGCTGAATTAATGGATTTTTAAAGAAACACCTACCATAGATAAAAATTTCAATTCTATACATGCATATATTTCAAGACTGATTGAAAAATTATTTAAAACAATTTGTTACTTTTATAAACAGTTGAAACATATTGTATGCAGAAATAAAGAGGGAAAATCCAATTAAATCTTTCCACAATGCAGAGTAATAAAGTTGCACTTGTGCTGCTGCAGGATGGAAGGAGCTCCACTTCAATATGGAAATTGTACTATTGAATGATGATAAGTAAACAGTTCTATTGAAGCTTGATTTTGAGGATGGCTTCTGTGATTAAAAACTGTTTGAAATGTCAGGATTGCATATATGTATGATTGTGAATTATTACATTATAATGTAAAATATATAATGATAACAATTATAGGATCTGCATAAAATAAAAGTGACAAGCAATTGTCCAGTGTCAATCAGGCATCTCATTCTTTTTATTATAATTATATTCTAAGGTTGGATAATCTGTATGGTAATTGAGATGTAATATTCAATAGACCTGGTAGAGATTAATGGAAAAGTACCTACTAGATCTCAGTCAGCAAGAACAACATCACGTGATAGATCAAGCTATTAAGATCACAATAGTGGGAGGAAATCATAAGTCTATAAAAGTGCTAGGAACCTTAGTAAGGCCCTCCCAGTAACTAACTAATAGCACGCAGCAAATGTAACACTCATTTGAGTTTCTCCTACCTATTGATCAATGTCTCATGTATAATCATCCCATTATTCCCATATCAAGATAAGTTATATTAAGAGAGATGTGTCCTACTTATCCCACATGCACTTATAACTTATTCAACAAATCCCTGTCCTCAGGTAGAAATATATAATCAGTCAGGTGGCACTCAATATGGCTGCCTGACACAATGATACTTACTCTTGTGTCAAGTTTAGGACAGAAATAAATTAATTAAACCAACACAAGGCAATTTATCTACTAACCTGTCTGGAAGATTTTCAGTGGGAGGTGTGGGCTCTGGGTCCTCAGTACCATTTGTTTCTGATGGAGGATTGTTGTGGGCACCAGGTATAAATTTTCCCCATGCACATGCCCAGATGCCCTCAGTGTGAGCATTTTCTTGTTTGTGCACCAAGGAAAACTGAAATCAAACTTTGCATGAAATACGCAAAAAGTAAATCAAATGAAATTAGTAGTCACACAAAAAGGGTATATAAATCAAGTAATTTTCAACTCTTATATCACATTGAAATCGACCATACTAATATTAATTCAGTAAAAGAATGGAAGAGTATATTAATGTTGAAAATTGAACATAAATACATAATACATCAAGTTCAAATGACAAGGTTGCTACAAAACTTGAAAATTGTATGAAATGACATGTTTGTGAACCAAAATTCCTTCAATCAAACAAAAATACATGACATTAGAGCCACAAGATTTCATACCTACTGAAATTACAAAAATATTAGACTCAGAGATGCAATAGCCAATTGGTCAGAAAAACTATTATTACTATCATATAATTCCAGTTTCCAGTAGGGTAAACGTGGTATATTCCGACACATTAAGGACGTAGCAAAAAATGAATGGCTACAAAAAATTACCGTATGCGCAACTCGAGTTCTGTTTGCTTTACGAGTTTACGTCACTCTCAAAACACCGCACTACGCGCCAGCAACAATGAAACGTCATAAAATGTTACCCTATATAATTAAAAGCCTTTAGAATGCAAACCTACCAAATCCATATATTCTGACGCTGTGTGTGACTAAATTTGGCATTTTGTGAGACTAATTCCGGCCAAGCTTCAAACTCTACTAATTCGTAATTCCGATCCTCTTGTGTTCAAATTCCGATCGCTGTGTGAGCTGTATTGGAATATGACACAGCTTGGAATTAGAACACTATTGAATATTGAACACTACTTAATTAGGCTTTTAATTAAGAGCTATTAAGCTCTTAATTAGGAAAATTTTAATTTTTGCACACGGCTCAGAACGAGCTGTGTGTGTCTAATTCCAAGCTGCGTCGGAATTAGTTTTTATGTGTCTAAAACCATCTCTTAACTTAATCATCTATTAATTTATTTACCACTTGAAATCAGCAAATACAAGTATACTTAAAGGATTCCTAATATATTCACAGACTTATTTAAAAGTCTCACACCATAATATTCTTTCTACACAAACAGTTTATCACTATTTGGTAGAGCAAGGTCAACTATCAACTTTTACATGTTTTTCGATGTTTTTGCTGGGTGACGCGCACTGTCTCTCTTTGGATCTCAACATTTTCCCGCCAGACGGCCCAGACCTAGTATTTTGGCAATAGTATGGCGGGCAATAGTATGACGTCACTATTTCAACCATCAACAAATGCGTGGAACTAAGACAAAGCTTAATATAAAGGAAAAAAGTGTCAGAAAAGGAAGTGTCTGAATTACCCACAATGTCGGAATATACTGCGTTAACCCTAGGTATGAAATCTTGCGGCTGTACTGTAATGTATTTTTGTTTACTTGAAAAATTGCAGTTTGCACTTCACAAACATGGCATTCCATAAATTTTTCAACTTCTGCAATCTGCAATTGTGGCATTAGTACTTTACCATTTTGCCAAAATATCCTGCAGAACGTAATTATTGTAATGATAACAAGTCAGCCTAAATGCTTCATTGAAGATCACGCCTAGCATAGTGGCAAACCAGAGATTTTTTAGAATCATTTCATTTTTAATTTCCTCATTTACTCAAGATTTGAACCAATTTCTTATGTAGGTATGATACCATGCTGGTAGTGGTACCGTCAACCGGGGCTACTCGGGACGGTTTTGAGCGTTTTTTGTTAATAACTTCTTACGATGAAACATTTCATAAACAAGTTTAGGCTCATTTTATAGCTCTTTGCGAGGGCTATCGAATGGCATCTTCAAAAAAATTCCATATGCTATTCGTAAGGTGCCAGAAGCAAAAAAAGAGTGTCCCGAGTAGCCCCATCAAACGGGGCTACTAGTGGAACGGGGCTACTTGGGACACTGAGAATAAAACTTCATTTTAAAATATTTGAAGCATGCAGAGCTTACTCATCCATTACTAAAAGTACTCTGAAGTCCTCCTCTTTCATTGTAGACAATGTAGAGGTAGAATAAATGACATTTTCTGTGACTTTTACTAGTTTTTCCTTCATTGATATGATAATAATGATATTACCATAAACATTAATTACCCTCAACTGGGGTGACTTCCCCTTTGTTTTTGATTCATGCTGGGGTCATAAACGTGGGGTCGTAAACGCCAGGGTTGTAAACCAGGTCATAAACGCCTGAGTGGCTTTGGCCACTGTTTATGACCATTTATTACCCCACTTTGGCCATCATTATGAACATGGCTGAATCACTCAGTTGATGGTACCTTATTATTGATGTGATATTACCATATCCATGAACATGGCATTGAGCATTTACAACAACCTTGTCCACTGCAAGCTTCATATCAGCAGCATCATAGCATTTTTTCTGTATCTGTATGCTTACAGGACGGCTTGTAATTTGTGAGACCATAAGTGAACTTTTTTTCGCTCAGCGAGGTAAATGTAATCAATATTCTTTGTTTTTAATCAATTTTTTTCTTAACTGGAGCCTTTGCTAACTGAGGTTCTAATGTAAATGTGCTTTCCGGGGTGTCCCGAATAGCCCCAGGGGGGTGTCCCGAGTAGCCCCACCATGCGGAACTGGCCGCCATTTTTTTTTTTGTAATGAGATAGGCAAAATCTATCGATTACGTTTTCAAGCCAACACCTGGGTGCAACTTTTATGTAAGTAAAATTTTTCAATACGGCAAATATTTTTTTTGCTACAGACCTTAGCAGAAGTAACTTTTCAAAATAACATTTTTCACCATTTTTTTCAGGAATTTTTCAAAGCTAGTAAATGTCGTATTTTTCAACTTCCTTTATACTACATAGATAGGAAAAATGTTGTTGTTTAGGCCACTATATTTAGTTTAGCAATATTCCAATTAGTTTCGCTACTATGACTGTTTTACGACGTGTCAGAGGTGTGTCCCGAGTTGCCCCACCAGTCCCGAGTTGCCCCGGTTGACGGTACCGTAAAATGGGGTAACTTAGACAACAATTAAACTTGAATTGAAACATGCAAAATACAGGTCTATACTCTAGCTTTACTCACCATAAATTGCTGGCTCTTGCCTCTCATAGTCTTTATGTAATTTCATAAAAAGTGATGGTCTTTGTTACCCCAGCTCTTGGGGTAACTTAGACAGGGTGGTAAAATCAATTATATTTTTTGGTAAAATAACTCCAGGTTTTGGTGCATTGTAGTAGAACTCTTCTAGTTACATATGCAAATGACAAACTTGAGGAAAGTGTCATAGTTTGCAAAGGGGGGCACCGCCCCATAATGAGGGAAATGTGACTACCTAATGGCAGCCCTGTTGGGGTAATATTGACTGGCTTGGAAATTAAGTTAAAATTACCATATATAAGACTCTGTAGTCTGTAGAGTCTGAAACATAAAGAAAAAACATAAATAGGCTGTCAAACATAAAATATGTTAGATATGGTAATTTTATATTAACTTCCAAGCCAGTCTATGTTACCCCGTCAGGGCTGACATTAGGAGGTCTAAGTTACCCCATTTGGGGGGGGCGCCCTCCATTTGCAAACTATGACACTTTCCTAAAATTTGTCATTTGCATATGTAACTAGAAGAGTTCTACTACAATGCATCAAAACCTGGAGTTATTTAACCAAAAAATAGAAAAAAATTGGAGGGGGTACTCTGACAGGCTTCAAATAATAGTTTTTTTTTGTGGGTCACATTTTTAATTTTTTAACCTATTAGATATGCAAACTTTTCAAATCTTTCTATTGCGTCATGTAGCCTCAGTATTAGGCCTTTAATGGCCATTGACAAAATTTTTCTATGTCAAATAGTTTTTGAGTTGTGGGGGTTTTTGTTAAAAAAATGAAAAGTGGTCTAAGTTACCCCGTCGGTCTAAGTTACCCCATTTTACGCCTTACGGTATCCATGATACTTTACTGGTCTGCTTATAGGACTCAAAAACGAACTTGAGGGAGAGTCTAAAAACTCTCTGCTTTGCCACTATGACGCATAGTTGTGGTCATCTCAGAGTGGTGACTCGGTGAGACTGCAGTAACTGAGTAACATGTGTTCATCTTACAGTAAAAACAAATTTAACTGTTGCCATTTAACCATTTTAGGGTAAAATGAGAGATTTGGGGTAACTCGTGCAGACGTGCACTTACATGGGACTTGGTAAATAAATTCATGCCTTGTTAATGGCTTTTCATGACCAAAATATGGAATTCACGGCTTGAAAAAATTTAATCACGGCTCAAAGAAATGGAATCACGGCTAGCAAATCCATAAAACCACAGCTCAAAAATTCAGTTGCGGCTTGCCAACTTGCCAAGTAGGTAGATATATTCCATGCCTGCAATACTTCAGAAAAAATAGGACTTTTCCCAACCTGAAGCGGTGTGCATCATGAATAAACTCTTATTGGTGTTTGGTGTCATACCTATGTTGTTATCAATTCATGAGTGTCAATTTGTGATAGGCCTATTGTTCATGTCATGTGTTGAAACCTTTGAGTTCATTCTTGATTCTTTCAACTGCAACATCAATCCTCTTTATTTTTACCCTTTCTATTTTAACTAAAATTATTGGAACAAAAAAGTGGTGGAAGTGGATCAAAAAATAATATATGAACCATCATTTTTAGAATTCTATCCTGCAGGCTGAGTGCAAATGTTTATGAAAATGTTAACTTACCATTGCAATTTCTTAGTTAGGTACAGTTCCTCAATTTCTTCTCACACACAAAACACTTCACAACTAAAACCTGAAAAACGTGTGAGTTCAGCGCTCTAAAGTTCTCAGAATTAAATTATTATACGTCTGATGGGTGGTTTGAAACTGAAAATAGGTACGTCCAACGGTCCAAGACAAGTGTTGACCCGCACTGTCACTCGCTCGAAACGCGACGGCGTCTTATCGATGACTACGATGAGTGGCAACGATCCACCCAACAACCACCGTTGAAGCTTCAGTACCTACTACAGTACAGAATACAGAGTACAGACTTCTTCTTCTTCTTCTTTTCAAGGTGTCCATGTTGGGTGGACTGAAAGCCACAGGACAGCCGCAAGGGTGACCGTTGGGCCTGAGAGCTTATGTTATGTTGGACTTCTTGGTAAGGAAAGCTGGCCTCTTTGTCCTTGTTTGTACAAGGTCAATAGAGGTGATGGATGAGCTTGATAGCATGTAAGAGAGAATTTACACA